GCTGTACGGCCTCGACCTCCAGCTTCTCGATGGCGCTCTTCATGTTGTCGATATGTTTGGAGAGAATGGCGTTTTGCTCCTCATATTCAGTATTCAGTTTACGCAACGATCGCAACTCCTGTTCCCGTACCCGGTTGTGGTCCAGAAACTCCTCGGTGAATATGGGCAGATCCAGTGTGGAGGACGAGCTCCCGGTGCCACCCGGCGTCGTCGTGTCCATCGCCATCGACTCCTGGTTCTCATCATTAGCTGTAGTTTTGGTGACGATTATGAGTTAGACATGTGGTTATGAAGGGAAAGGTGTGTTGTATTGTGTGTGCAATCAATGGGTGTGTAATTATGCGGGGTTTTAGTGTTCATTATATCGAGGATTAGATTATTGTAAATAGAGATTAATGTATGAAAACTGCAAACTCTACATATGTATGTAATACACACGCAAACCCCTAAGCTGGTACACTATTCACGTATTAAACCCCTATAACTACCGCTATATAAATACTAAACAGGGTTATATTAAATACCCGCACACCTCGTACACTATTCAGAGTCATAAAACTTGTTATTTATTTTTATTATTTGTCATAAATGGTGATAACAACAGAAAAAATACACAAAAAACAAAACTGAATTATAATTCTTAGGCTATTATCTAATGGTAACCACAGAGAGACCACTCAAACACATCAATCATATATCATAAAAAAAACTTTACTAAAAAATCCTGAGTCTCTCACTGACTAACCATTAAATTATGCTATAAATCGTTGTCCCAATCAATTACCTGATAAGCTGTATATATATTAAGTGTTAAGTAAAAAGTATATTATATTTCTTTCAGTCTCTCTCTCTCTCTCTCTCTCTCTCTCGCTATCTAATCGTCTCAGAAATAAAGTCTTAGTATTTCCTGATGTCTATCACCGCAAGAATTATATGATATACTCGTCAATAGCTTTTCGATATAAAGCTCTTTAAGTAGTTTTTGTGTTGTTTTTGATGTGCATTTCCTAATGATTATTGCATTTCATATCGAAATTATAGCTAAAATATGGCCAAAAATTGCTCATTTCATGCAAACTTCGACATTATGTATATTTTGCGATTAAATCAATTGTTTTGAAAAACATCTCATGAGAGCTATTAAGTGTAATGTCTTAATAATCAGAGTTTTTAATGCTAAGGGGGTTTATGGGTGGGTGTTGTTGATAGCAAAGGGAAAGGGAGTGTCGGATATAAAGGCCAGATATGACTAGTATTTGGTTTAAAAGATTCAATTGAATGATAAGAATATTTGACACAATGTTCACAAGACTTTACGTACAAATATTATCTCAATTAAGTGTAGCGATAATTAAAATGAAATACAATTCAAGCAATAAAACACTAAAAATAAAACCTAAAACTACACTGAAAAACATAAAACAATTAAAAGCTAACTCAAATTCATTAACTATAAGAATTCTGTACATAATTAACGAAATATAACCCAAAAAACTTCGCTTATAGTGAAAATAATATATAAAAATTCTGTTCACTATAAACTACACCAGAATATAACCATAAACTCGATATAATTCACACAAAAAAACATATTCTGTGCACAAAACCACCAGAATATTCACACCCATACCCTTTACAACACAATAAATATAAACCAATAGATACCGTACCCAATGCATGCCTACCACCACCACCAGCACCGGTATTACCAGCACCTGATGCCTGTCCACCGGCAGCGGCGGCCGCTTTCATCGCCTGCTTCTGCTCTTTGCGTTGCCTCAGCTTCTGCTGGAACTCCTGGTAGGCATCCGTGCGCTGATACTCCTCCAGTTCCCTCTGGTAGGCCTCCTTAGCCCTCTCGGCCTCGTCGAGATACTGGCGCTTCCCCTCGTCGGGCAATGCCATCCACTC